CACAGGATAGAATGACAAAGGGTGAGCAGTGGCTATAGCCCAGCCCCTCGTGATTTTAATGCCCCTAGTATTTCTGTAGAATAGAATTAAATAATTTAGTTCTTAAGTAGGCCTTTGTTCACATGTTAATCGCTCTTTCTGCTCAGCTCCTTTTGTTCTCATGAATGTAGTCGTAAGTTGCTGATGTGGTGTCTATTTGTCAAGCAGGAGGAGATAACTTCAGGGTCACGTGGAGAATTTATGAGTTTGTTTTGCAGAAAGAAAGAATGTCTTCAAGGTTTCTGTGACCAGCTGCTGCCTCCCAGGACTCTGATGTGAAAAAAGTGTTATCTATGACTAAAGAAACACAGACTTCTCTCTCAGTTCCCTGGAACCTCCCCTCCCCTACTCCCTAGCTGCATAAAAACTCCCTACTTCTGTTTTTTTGAGAGAGCCGGGTTTGAGAGATCTCGTTCTCCTGTCATCCTCTTGCCTTAGCCAGAGCCAATAAACCTTTCTCTGACTCCAAGTACCAGTGTCCCCATGTTTTGGCCTAATAGGGCATCGGGCACATGGACCCGAATTTTGGGAGGTGATTCTGCAACATGGGCACAAAAGGAAGATATCCAGATACTTTTTAAATAAACACAGAATCTATTGTATTTTCCCATTCTTTTAAAGAGTATTGATTGCATATTCAATCAGTATAGCTATCCATCCATCCATCCAATCCACCTTTCTAGCCATATACATGCATAGGAAGATATCTGGAATGTTACCATAATGGTAATGGTGATGCTTTTTGGATGATGAGATTTGATGTATTTTTTTTAAATTGAGATATAATTTATATAATTTATATGGTTTTTAGTGTAGTCATAAGGTTATACAACCATCACCACTATCTAACTTCAGCATATTTTCATTACCCCTAAAGAAACTTCATATCCATTAGCAGTCATTCTCCATTTCTCCCTGCCCCAGCCCTTAGCAACCACTAATCTACTGTCTCTATGAATTTCCTATTCCGAACATTTCATATAATGGAACATATACTATTTGGCCTTTTGTGACTGGCTTTTCTCATAGCATAATGTTTTTAAAATTCATCCAGGCTGTAACATGTATCAATACTTCATTCCTTTTTGTTGAGAATAATATTCCATTGTACAGATATACCACATTTTGTTTATTCATTAATTAATGCACACTTTTAGCTATTATGAGTAGTGGTATTATAAACACTTGTGTATAATTTTTGTGGGGACATATGTTTTCATTTCTAGGGTATATACCTAGGAATGGCATTGCCGAGTCAAATGATAAGGAGCTGCCAAACTTGTCCATAGCCATTACACCATTTACATTCCCATTAGCAATGGTACGGGCTGAAATTTCTCCACAGTCTCGTCAACATTGTTACTGTCTGTCTTTTTCATTATACCATCTTAGTGTGTATGAAACAGAAGCTTATGCCAGAACTGGTTGGGCTCAGTGGATAGAGCGTCGGCCTGCGGACTCAAGGGTCCCAGGTTTGATTCCGGTCAAGGGCATGTACCTTGGTTGCGGGCACATCCCCAGTGCGGGGCATGCAGGAGGCGGCTGATCGGTGTTTCTCTCTCATCGATGTTTCTAACTCTCTATCTCTCTCACTTCCTCTCTGTAGAAAATCAATAAACCATATTTAAAAAAAGAAAAAGAAACAGAAGCTTAGCATTAGCTTTGATTTGCATTTTTCTGATGGCTATGATGTTGAGCATCTTTTTGTGTGTTTATTGGCCATTTGTATTCTTTTTTGGAGGAATATCTATTTAAATCCTGTGTCCAATATTTGGTAAAAGTTTCATTGAGATATAATTCACATGCTATATAACTCACCCACTTAAAGTATACCATTCAGGAGCTTTCAGTATATTAATAAAGTTGTGCCACCATCATCACTAATTTCAGAACACTTAAATCACTTCAAAAAAGAAACCCCATACCCAGTAACTGTCAACCTTTAATCCTCCCATTTTCCCCAACCCTAGACAACCATTAATCTGCTATAGATTTGCCTATTCTATTTTATAAATGGAATCATAAAAGATGTGGTCTTTCATATATCATTGAATATACTACCTTCTCTCACTTAAAATAATGTTTTTAAGGTTCATCCATGTCGTTGCATGTAGAAGTCCTTCATTGTATTACTAATATTCTGTTGTATGGACATACCAAATTTTACTTGTCCATTCATCAGCTGATGAACATGTGGGTTGTTTCCAACTTGTTATTAGTATACAGGTGGACACATGCTTTTATTTCTCTCGGGTAAACCTTGGAGTGGAATTGGTGGGTTAAATCATAACTATGTTTAACTTTTTTTGAAATATGTTTTTATTGGTTTTAAAGAGAAAGGAAGGAAGGGAGAGGGGGAGAGAGCAAGAGAGAGAAACATCCATGTAAGAGAGAAACATTGATCAGCTGCCTCCTGCACGCCCGTACTGGGGACTGAGCCCGAACCTTGGGCATGTGCCCTGACTGGGAATCAAACCAGTGACCTTTTGATGCATGGCACTGTGCTCAACCAACTAAGCCACACTGGACAGGACTATGTTTAAGTTTTTGAGGAACTCTGAAGACTATTTTTAAAAGTGGCTATACCATTTTACATCCCACCCCCCTCCCGCCAAACACACACACCCCAGCAGTACATGAGGGTTCTATATCGCTACCAATTGTTGATATTCTCTCTCTCTCTTTTTAAGCCATCTTAATGGAGGTAAAATGGTATCTCATTGGGATTTTAATTTTGACTTTGACTTGAGGATGAAATCCAGGTTCCAGGTTGGAATGTTTGGGTGAATGGAGATATCATTGGCTGTTTTGCATTGGATATTATAGGAAGAGACTTAGGAGGGAGATGGTGAATTGCATTTTGGACAAGTTGATATTGAGGCGACAATGGGATATTCAGATGCAGTTGTCTAGTAATTGAATGGTTAAGTGGGCATGGAGCCCAAGAGAAAGGGCTGGTTGGGTAGGCAGGGAAGTCCTCAGGTGGAAATGGAAACCCTCAGGAAGTGTGCAGTAGAAGAAGCCCAGATCCAGAACCCCCAGGAGACCAACCTTTATGGCAAATTAGTGTGGTGTTTCAGAGCACCGTGCTTTCGAGCCAGGCAGCCTGTTCTCAGCATTGTGACGTAAGGCAAGTTATTTATCTTAGTTTCCACATCTGTAAGATGAGCATAACAATAACACAGCTAGAACAGTGCATGCTACTTTTCGTTTCTTTAAAAGATCTACGAATAAAAAGCTGCCAAAGAAGGCAAAGAAGGAGGAGAAGCTCTAAGATATTGTGAGAAAAGAAAATTTCAGCGATCATGTCAAATTCTGCCAATACGACTATAAGATAAGGTCTGTGAAATGTCCATCTTTCAGCAATTAGTGGCCTCACCAAGTGCAGGCTCTATGCAATGAAATGACTGTAAAGGGTTGAAGAGTAATTAGGGGTGGACACTGATACAGCCTTCCCTGCCCTGATGAGCCGGGCTCTCCCAGTAGATGCTTCCTTTCATGACAGTCAGTTACGGATCTGATCCCACTTTTTCCAATCAGTTTCAGCCACCAATGGGATATGTTGCACCAGGTTACCATTTTATTTTATTTTTGAGAGGAAGGGAGAGGGATAAAGAGATAGAAATATCAATGATGAGAAAGAAATAAGGATTGACTGCCTCCTGCATGCCCCCCACGGGGGATGTGCCCTGACCAGAATCGAACCAGTGACTTCTTGGTTCATGGGTGATGCGCAACCACTGAGTCACACGGCTGGGCACCA